TCAGCTGTTCCTCTATAGCAAAGTGCAGAGGACACTCAAAGCATGGAGGGAGTCCCTGCAGGGCAGCTCAGATTCCCAAGAAGTGGAGGTAGCTTGCTCCATCACTACAGCTGAAGTGGAATCGGGCTCCCGCTGAGGACTGCAGGCTGGTGCTCTCTACAGACTTAGCCCCAGAGCCAAGGTGGGACATGGCTCTGTCTCAGTCCTGGAAGCCAGTGTGCTTTTGGCACTTGGCAGCAGAGCCATGGTGGCTGGCAGCTCTGTGACACACTAGCAACTGGTACTTTCTCCATATAGAGTGGCCAAGCAGCAAGACAACTCCATCTCAGCATTGGGCGCTGTTGGGGTTTAGAGGCTGAACACTGGGGTCAAACTGGAACATGACTCCCTCTCAGCCCGAGAGGCTGCTGTGTCCTAGTACCTTGGTGGAACCCGTCTCAGCACTCCAGACTGGTCTTTGGGATGCTGGTGTTCCTACTAGGTAAAGCACCAGTGCTAGTGCTTCTCCAACACAGAGAGCCAGAGCTGATGTTTGAACCAGAGACAGCATGAGAGCCAAGGGCAGAAAGACCTCCAGCTCCTAGCTACTCAGGAGGCTGAGATCTGAAGATCACGGTTCAAAGCCAGCCCAGGCAGGAAAGTCCATGAAATGGCAGAAAAGTCCATGAAATTCTTATCTCCAATAAGACACCAGAAAACTAGAAGTGGTGCTACAGCTCAAGTTGTAGAGCGCTAGCCTTGAGCTGAAGAGCTGAGGGACAGCGCTCAAGCCCAGAGTTCAAGCCCCAAGACCAACAAAAAAAGAAAAGAAAAGAAAATGTCCTAAGAACTAATTACAATAATAAATTTGGGCAGCATTTGCAGAGACCAAGGTTCATGTGACTATGTCTTTCTTTCTCCTACTCCTGAGTTTTGCATTAAATTTTTATAACATAAGGTGTATCACATAATATGTTGTTATGCATATACACAGTGAAAGTGATAATTCAATAAAAAGTGATTATCAATGTGTTAATATGCTTTACTTGCTTGTATGTATGAGATTTTATTATCTATACTATCTATACTCTTGGCAAATTTTCAGTATGCAATATGGTATTATTGAACTTGAATGAGGTGGGAGTGTCAATCACCCCCGAACAGGAGCTTGAGTTAGAGCTGAAGAAGTGGAATTCATTTTGGGGGTCCAACCTCCCTCCCCCACTGCACTGATCTCCAGGAAGAAAATATCTAGCTGGGAGCCAGTGGCTCATGCCTTTAATTCTCGCTACTCAGGAGGTTGAGATCTGAGGATCACAGTTCAAAGCCAGCCTGGGTAGGAAACTCCATGAGACTCTAATCTCCAATAAACAATCAGAAAAACCGGAAGTGGTGCTGTGGCTCAAGCAGTAGAGTGCTAGCCTTGAGCTGAAGAACTAAGGGACAGCACCCAGGCCCAGAGTTCAAGCCCCACAACCGACAAAAGAAAAAAGAAAAGAAAAGATCTACATATTGCTTGGCTTTTAGAGGTGTGCTATCATGACGAAAGCATGGGAAAATGGGCTTCGCCAAGCTGAGTCCAAAAGTCAGTCTGGTTCTTCTCTAGCACTCTCACCCCAAGACCCTACTGAGGTGTCTGAAGATAGGGACTTGTGTGGCTTCTCTGAGCCAGGGATCCAACATTGGGAGATCAGCATTGAACTGAATTAAAGTGGGAATTTCAGGATATCTTAGCCCTAAAACCTGAACATACCACAAAGACAATGCTAGTGTAGGCATTTACTAGTGGTAAACAGCAAGTTTGTACTGCACTAGGCAATTGTCAATGAATGAAAGCATTTGTGACTATCAGAATACTGGAGGGAGCAGGATGGACAATTGTTACAGGAATCCAATGTATAAAGTCCAGGTTACTACTGAACACCCTGAAGTGCATGGAACCACTCTCACAAATTATCAAATGACAAGACCGCAGTTTGAGAGATCTAGCTCTTCATATGCAATGTTGAATTATTAAATGGATGGATAGACCAAGTATAAAGGTGGCGTATATTTGCCAAATGTGATGCTTAGGATTTTTCTGATCTTGTGTGTGTGTGTGTGTGTGAGAGAGAGAGAGAGAGAAAGGGGGGGAGGGTATTCTGGGGCGTGAATTCAGGTCCTAGGTGCTGTCCCTGTGCTTTTTTGCTAAAGGTTATCACTCTACCATGTGAGACAGAGCTTTACTATAGCTTTTTGGTGGTTAATAGGAGATAAGAGCATCATGGTTTTTCCTGCCAAGACTGGCTTTGAACCACTATCCTTACATTTTAGCCTCCTGAGTAGCTAGGATTACAGGTATGAGCCACTAGTGCCCAGCTGATTTTTGTGATCTTGAGCAGAGTGAAACCCCAGTTTTTCTTAGTTAGCACAGGCCATCACAATAAGGGCTTAACATGGCAAGTTAAATTATACCATAACACTCAGCTCTGAATTTATTTCAGCAAATCTCTCATGCATATTTGCTCAATGTTTATTCTATGTCTATATCAAATATGTCCCATAAACATAAGGCCAAATACCTCATTCAAATGTTTGACTTGTACTATGTAATAGTCCTAATATTTGAACATGCAAAGAAGAGCTCAGTTAAACTATAGGAAAGAAATGGAATCTTGGTGCAAATTGAAGAGTGAGCTGTGAGGCCGGTCCAGTCCTCCTAAGCTCCGGGGGAGACAGTATCATCCATGTGAGTCATGTTTGGAGCCACTGAAATCAGGCCATGAATGCTTCTTGTTACAAAACAATAGCATAGTTTATTTTAAGGTAAAATGCCCAGCTCTGATAAAACTATGTATTCTGAAACCAGTACCTAAAATGTTTGTTAGCAAATGCAAGAGAGTGATCATTTTCACAAGGTAAATTTTATTGATATTATATATGAAATAACATTTGCGATGACAATTTCAACAATATGAGATTAGAATGAAAGAAAGAAAAGATGTCTTACAGCAATACAATTCAAAACCATGTTGAAAAGCAGTAATAAGCTACATTTCCTTTGAAAGAAAGTTAAGTACTTAATTTCAACTATCTATGTATATAATATAGCTAATGTTTTCATTTATTTATCTAAATATATCCACTATGTGTCAAAGAATGGATGCACAAATGAGCAAAACAATTGCCCTTTTCTACTAAGAGGTTATATATTACATTTTTTTCTCCAAAAATGGTAACATCTGTCAGATGATAAACATCTATGAAGCTAAGGGTAGATTCTCCTCCCTTTCCTCCTACTTTGCATGTAAAATGCATCTGTGAAGTAAAGGCATTATCACTGGACATTAAAATTTTAAGTATGTTAAAGCTATATTGTAATATTCTTAAAATGTTATATTTAAATTGTATGCACTGATAAGTTCCACACAACAAAATATCATCCTTGGCCAATAGACACATGAAGAAATGCTCAACCTCTCTAGCCATAAAAGAAATGCAATTCAAACCACATTGAGATACCACCTCACCCCAGTTAGAATGGCAAAAATCAAGAACCCTAATAACAACAGATGCTGGAGGGGATGTGGACAGAAGGGAACCTTACTGCATTGTTGATGGGTGTGTAAACTTGTTCAACCACTTTGGAAAGCAGTATGGAGGTTCCTCAAAAGACTCCACATAGAGCTCCCTCCCCTATGACCCAGCAATCCCACTTTTGGACATTTACCCAAATGTTTACAAACAAGACCACACTAAAGCTACCAGCACGACTATGTTTATTGCAGCATTATTTATTATAGCTAAGATATGGAACCAACCCAGATGCCCCTCAGTAGATGAATGGATCAAGAAAATGTGATATATATATACACAATAGAATTCTATGTCTCCATCAGAAAGAATAACATTGCCCCATTTGTTAGGAAATGGAAAGGCTTGGAAAAAATTATATTAAGTGAAGTAAGCCAGGCCCAAAGAAACATATGTCCCATGGTTTCCCTTATTTGCAATATCTAGTATATGTCTGAGTCAAGCAGAAAAGGTCAGATAAGGTGATGTTAGGGAAATGAACCCTAAGATATGTATTCAAATGTTTTCTTTCTTTCATGCGATTGTTTCTAACACATTTATAAGATTATTTTTTTGTTGCTATGTACATCCCTCCCCCACAGTATAACCCCAGCTTTCACTGTATTTGATGTCAGTATAATTTGTGGAGGGGAAGGGGAAAAACAAATTGTTTAAATAGGGATACAGGTGGACCCATTGCAACAATGAGATGTACAAGTCATTATGTCGAAAACGAACTTTACAACTTTGGTGCGGGGGTGGGGGGGGCAGGGGAGGCGGGGGGAGGATGGGAAAGGATGGGAAGGGGAAACAAAGGAGGAGGCTACAATGCTTGATAAGAAATGTACTTATTATCTTGCCCATGTAATTGTAACCCCTCTGTACAGTATTTTCACAATAAAAAAGGGAAAAAAGAACAAAATATCTTCTTTTATGAAAAGGAGAAGGTCTCTGTATCATAACCTAGATGTAGCTGGAGTAAACTTCCCTGAGAGGCTGCATTTTAGAAGAATGTGTCACAGAGAAACTGAAAGGTATTTAAATAGGAAAACTGGACAAAAGTGTGTGTGTGTGTGTGTGTGTGTGTGTGTGTGTGTGTGTGTGTGTACTGGAGCTTGAATTCAGGGACTTGGTGCTGTCCCTTACCTTTTTTGCTCAAGGCTAGTGCTCTACCACTTGAACCACAGCTCCTCGTCAAGCTTTTTACAGGTTAATTGGAGATAAGGGTCTCTCAGATTTGTCTGCCCAGGCTGGCTTCGAACCATAATCCTCAGATCTCAGCCTTCTGAGTAGCTAGGATTACAGGCGTGAGCCACCAGCATCCTGCTAAGAAAAGCATTTTAAATGAAGGAAGCTCAGTATGTAAAGTCAAAAAAAAGTTTTTTAAAAAAATACTCTTACTCTCTATAACTTTGATAATGATTTTAATTATAGCCAAAACTCTGTGAGGCATAATACTGACACCAAAGTGCTACCCATTGCATTCTGTCCCACCCTAAGCTTTTCTAATATGCCAAGGAGTTCTAATCAAAGTTAATGAAAATTATCAAGAAATTGTAACTAACAGAATTTGATGAGGAAAATATGCCTCATATTTCTCTTTTCATAGCAATGTTTTATGTGTATGAGCCACAACAAAAGCCCACAGCTTCTACTGAAATGTGAATTTTTAAAGTTATTACTGGAGTCTCACAATGCTAACCATGTATACATCTAACCATGTCTGACTGTAATACTACATTCTATGCTTTGATTGGTTATCTTGTAAAATGTTTACTGGTATCATCTTTGTACTAATCTAGGTCACAGAACATTTTCCTGAGTATTTCACATTCTATTTGAAAAAGATATGCAATATGTAAGCAAATATTAAAATTAGAACTGCAATGAGAACTAAATGCTATGAAGACAACCCCACAGGTAGATAGAGAATGGTAGCACCCTACAACAGAGATAATGGTAAGAAATGGCTATTTCTTACGATCTCTGTCCTTCCTCATATTGGTCACCTGGGAGTATGGCGCTTCAGAAGCAGCTTTCATTTTACAAAAACTTATTATTTCTTCCTCCAATTTCGATTTCTCTTCTTCGAGTTTCATTATTTCTTCTTGTTGAACCTTTTTAAGGTGCTCAAACTTGTCCTGCAGCTGTAAAAAGAAAAAAAAGTACAGATGTGATCTCAAAGAAGATGCTTGTCTTTCTTTAAAAATGTCAGTCTGGCTGGGCACTGTTGGCTCAAGTCTGTAATCCTAGCTACCCAGGAAGCTGAGATCTGAGGATCACTGTTCAAAGCCAGCCAGCCCAGGCCAGGAAAGTCCATGAGATTCTTATCTCCAATAAACTACCAGAAAACCAGAAGTGGTGCTGTGGCTCAAGTTGTAGAGAGTTTGCCTTGAGCTAAAAAGCTGAGGGACAATGCCCAGGCCCAGAGTTAAAGACCCACAACCAACCAAAAAAAATCAGCTGGCTAGGCACTGGTGGCTGACATCTGTAATCCTAGCTACTCAGGAAGCTGAGATCTACTGATCATGATCATGATTAGAAGCCAACCCCAGGCAAGAAAGTCTGTGAGACTCTTATCTCCAATGAAACACCAAAAAAGCCAAAACTAGAGCTGTAGCTCAAGTGGCAGAGCACTAGCCTTGAAGCTCAGGGATAGCACTCAGGTCTTGATCAAGCTTACCCCCAACATACACACACACACACACAGAGAGAGAGAGAGAGAGAGAGAGAGAGAGAGAGAGAGAGAGAGAGAAAGGTGTGCTTTCTCAACAGTTTTTTCCACAAAAATCTCTTTCTATACAGTTTACCACTAAAAGTCACATTGGAGGCAGGCAAGGCAGCCAAATAAAGGCAACTAGTGCTAACCAGCTCCTCCACAAAGAGCCAAAGCAAGAACAAGCCAACAACAGAGAAGCCTTGTAGTATCCAGAGACTCAGGAACAAAACATCCCCACCTGCCCTCCAGCTCCAGGCCAGGACAGAGGGTTAGCACAGTCTCTGCAATATCTACCAGTGCAGATAATAGCAAGCCTATCTGAAAAAAAAAAGTTGCACAGCCATTGCAAATGCACAAACTCAACAGCAGACTGAGCTCCAGGGGGTGGCACAACGCAAACTCACAAACACAGAACTTGCCTCCCTCTCAGCGTCCTTGAACGCCGTCTCCTTCTCCTTCACGCGTTGCATGAACTTCTGCTTCAACTCCTCCTCTTCCCGCTGGCACTGATCCTGGAACTCTTGTCTTTTGAACTCATATGTCTCTTGAAAACTAAAAAGGAAATGTCATTACTCTCCTGTTAAAATGCTAGTCCAAATCACATATAAACTGTGTGTGTTTGTGTGCTAGGTCCTGAAGATGACAGCAGCTGATATTCTGCTACATGGACAAACACGAAGTAGAAATTGCTATATCATGGAATGTAAAATTTCAGGCCCAATAAATACAATCAATATACGTATGTCTACATAAAATAAGAATTTTGAAACATTTATATCAGAGACTTTTTGGTTCCAAACACTGTCCATTATAACATACTTGTTCACATCTTTGGGCAATAAAATTCAAAACAACCTTGTAGGGATGACATTGCTTTTTTAACATTTTAAATCAGCAAAGCATATTTTAAAGTATTGTTTACTTAAGAGTGTTCAATTGGGCTCTTTTCAAAGAACTATATAAATGGTCATAAGTAGTGCTTCACATGCCTTCCCTACCTCCACCACCCCTCTCCAGCACAGCGCCCACACTTCCTCCACCTGACTTCAGAGACATTGCACTTCTGCTTTGAAACACTTCCCTCTGCCAAACTCTTCAATATCCTTTGCTAAGGCTTGGTTGTTTTCCCCAACCCTCTGTTGTTGTTGTTATAAGTACAAATATCCACACAAATAATATTTTTATCTTAGTCACACATTTCCATTTGTGTCTGCACTGGAGATAACACTGTGGCATATAAACGAGCTCTTTCATTATGCTACTCCTATAATCTCGATCCAAGTCAAGATGATTTTTAAAATTAGGCTGGATCAAGATGAGAAAAGTACAATCATTTCCATTCACAAACCATTGCACCATGTGGGTTTTGGGGTTTTCTAACTCATCTATTTAGGTGTGGTAGCAGATTCTAAACTCACCTAACTGGCTTGTTGTCGGGGCCCACATCTGTGAAACCCATTGTCTTCAATTTGCGGTACCTGTAACATTCATAGTGATAGCTATGGGTCTTCTCTTTCAAGTCTTCCATGTTGGTACAAAGAAGCACATCCCGGAGCTTAACAAAGTCGCAGTGATTTTCATTTTCCACTAGTCAAAGAAATAAAACCACCACAAGTCCATGAATTACTGGAACTCAGCAAACATTCTTGAGTAAATTAATGGATGATAAACATGTTTTATATTAAGTAGTTGGACAAAGGGTTTAATTCAACATATCAATTTATGATTACAATGCATCTTGATTAGTGTCACCCTTCCCTCATTCTCTCTTCGCTCATCCACCTCAACCCCACCCATCCCCACAAGGTGCCTGGTTCATTTCCACATTGGTACACTGAGTATTGTGACTGTATTCACCCACCATTACTTTCTCCATTTATTTGAACCTCCCCCCAGTGATGTTAAACATGTAAAACAATAAACAGCTATAATTCTTTGAACTACATGACCTATAATATTATATTAGTAATACTGAAAAAAGTTAAAGGACATTTTGCTCTTAATGTATTATATTAGAATACATAGGAAATAGTGAAAAATAAATTATTTTAGTAAATACAATGAATTTCCTTCAAGTTGTATTAGTGTTCTGTAATGATTCTTGAAATCTCTCACAGCCAAGAGACTATATAATGTAGTTTCACTAAACTAAATATTTTTTAAATAAATTCATCTGAATGGATCTCACTGGCTCACTCCAGTCCTAGCTACTCAGGAGTCTGAGATCTTGAGGATCAATGCTCAAAGCCATTCTGAAAGACTCCATTACAACCAGCAAAAGCCCTGCTGAAAAAGTGGCTTAAATGGTAAGGTGCCAATCCAAGCAAGGAAGCAAGCCTAAAAAGCTCAAGACACTGAGTTCAAACCCCAGTATCATCAACAGCAAACACATACTTACATACATACATACATACATACATTCTTCTAACAAAACTACTTTAGAACTATGCAACCTTTAATTATTGAATTCTAATATTTAAGCTGGGATATAGATAGATATAGATTCAAATATTTATTTCTTTTCTTAATATTTTTATTGTTATTATAAAGGTAATGTACAGCTTGGTACCAGTGGCTCACACCTATAATCCTAGTTACTCAGGAAGTTGAGCTCTAAGGACTACAGTTCAAAGTCAGCCTGAGCAGGAAAGTCCGTGAGACTCTTATCTCCAATTAACCACAAAAAAGCCAGAAATAGCACTGTGGTTCAAGTGGTAGAGCACTAGCCTTGAGTAAAAGGCTCTCAGGGACAGCACCGAGGCCCTGAATTCAAGCCTTATGATCAACAAAAATACATACATACATACATAACATACATACATACATACATACATGTGAGGGGTACAGAGGAGTTGCCGTTTCATAAATAAGTCAGGTAATGAACACATTTCTTTTGGACAATGTTATCTCTTCTTTACCTCTCTCCCAGTTTTTCCCTCTTGTCCCCACCCACAAGTTGTAGAGTTCACAGTATTTAGTGAATACCACTGCTATATTTGTTCAACCTTTGTCCCTCCATTTCTGTGCCCCCACTTGTCCTCCTAAAGACAGATAAATGAACAAACAAAGCAAAAAAGAAAAGAATTCCAGGCCAACAGCTCACACCTATTGTCCTAGCTACTCAGGAGCTGAGATATGAGGATCATGGTTTGAAGCCAGAACAAGCAGAAAAGTCCATGAAACTCTCATCTCCAGTTAACCACAAAAAGCCAGAAGTGAAGCTATGGCTCAAGTGGTACAGCACTAGCCTTGAGCACAAAAGCTCAAGGACAGCGCCCAGGCCCAGACTTCAAGCCCCAGGTCTGGCAAAAAAGAAAAGAAAAAGAAAAAAGTAAAACAAACAAATGAAAAAAATTCTTATTTCCATTTCCTGGAGTTCATTTTTGATACATATCATTTTATATGATCAGAGGCACATAGGCATTGTACCTGTGTGTTCCTTCCCTAAGAGTATCCTCCTTTGGACTCACTGTGTGTGAATGCCTAGAGTCCCCAAATTTTATTTCTTTATGGTGAAAGTTCTCAGATCTTTTTTTCAAACTTTTTGAGATGTATAGTACATTCCATCTGTCTGCAGTCAGCATTTTGTACAACTTAGGAGCTTCTTGCTCCTAACTGCCTGTTAATAGAGATGGCAACCCTTTCCCCACCCCATCCACTATCCTTGGCCTCCAGTAAACACCATCCAAAAGTCCAGGGTTTGGGATTCCATGTAGAAGTGAGATCATATGATGCTTGCTGTCTGTGCCTGACTTGCTCCACTCAGCAGAATGAGCTCCCATTTCATCCAGGTTGCCACAAATAATTAATGCCTCATTTTACTTTATCAACTTTATGTTAAGCTTGGATTGGGCATTTACTGTGTGCATGTGTGTGTACTTAATTTAGTTCTTCACTCATATTCAATACTTGTACAAACTAATATATTTCACTGTGACGTCTACCTCTATGTATGGACCATGCATTGATCAATCTGTCCTCTCTTCCACCCTTCCTCACACTCCTCATTCATAACTATTAGCTTACAGCTTACCAAGAGTTACCAATACTAGTTCAAATGAAAAAGCTGCTTGAGACTACACAGGCGTATAATGTGCATGCTCCCTCTCATCATACTTGCCTTGCAAAACTCCCCAAGGGTAGTGACGACCTCTGACCATCCTCTTCCCGACTTTCACCTCCTCCATGCTGCCCACCACAGCAAAAGGCAACAGGCCCTAGAAATAGGAAGAATATAAACTGAGTTCCTTAAATAATATGGATTAGTTGTCGTTCTTTTTCTTGTTATAAAAATGACACAGGTAAAAATAGCATGATATATAGTATAACCCCTGTTTTCACTATATTTAATTCTGGTGCCCTGCATCTTGTATATATACTTTTCTAATTTGGGGAGGGGAGGGGAAAAAAACAAAATGCTTAAATAGGGATACAGGTTGACCCATTGCAACAATGAGATGTACAAGAACTATGTTGAAAACGAACTTTACAACTTGTGGGGGGGAGGGAGGAAGGAGTTGGGGAAGTAGGGAGGAAAGGGATGGTAGAGGAAAAACAAAGGAGGAGGTAACAATGCTCAATAAGAAATGTACTCATGGGGCTGGGAAAGTGGCTCAGTGGTAGAGCACTTGCCTCGCATGCTCGAGGCCCTGGGTTCGATTCCTCAGCACCACATAAGAAAAAAGCCGGAAGTGGCGCTGTGTCTCAAGTGGTAGAGTGCTAGCCTTGAGATGAAGAGCTGAGGGACAGCACCCAGGCCCAGAGTTCAGCCCCCATGACCGGACCCCCAAAAAAAAAAAAAAGAAATGTACTCATTACCTTACTCATGTAACTGTAACCCTTCTGTACACTATTTCTACAATAAAAAAACATATTTAAAAAATAATATCATGGGGGTTTTGGAAGGTGGCTCAGTGGGAGAGCACTTGCCTTACATGCATGAGGTCCTGGGTTCAATTCCTCAGCACCACATAAGCAGAAAAAAAAGTCGGAAGTGGCGCTGTGGCTCAAGTGGTAGAGTGCTAGCCTTGAGCTGAAGAGCTGAGGAACAGCACCCAGGCTCAGAGCTCAGGCCCACGACCGGACTAAAAAATAATAATAATAATATCATGATATATTTAATCAAGTAAGGGATTTACCCTGAATGTGATTTTAATACTTCACAGAACCTCTGTGCTAGTTGATTTTTGCATGGATCAGTTCCAGGATGTAAACACAAAGAGTGTCTACTTAGTATTGCCTAAAATATAAATTTATCAATAAAGGGGAAATGCTAAGGTTTACGTTTTGGCATTATGTCAAATGCCAGAATAACATTTATTTATTAGTTGCTCAAGAAAAAATTATTCTATATTAGGATTCCCGATAGTTCAGCTTCTAGAAATACAATGTAGGAGAGGCCAAAATACTCATGATACGACATAAAGAAGATTTATTTTTGCCATTCTGGGGTCTTGAACTCAGGGCCTAGACACTGTCCCTGAGCTTCTTTTACTCAAGGCTAGCACTCTACCACTTGAGCCATAGCACCACTTCTGACTTTCTGTTTATGTGGTACTGAGGAATCAAACCCAGGGCTTCATGCATGCTAGGCAAGCACTCTACCACTAAGCCACATTCCCAGCCCATAAAGAAGATTTTTAATAAAGAAAATATATTACTCAGTTTCTCAACTAATAAATGTATTTGGTTTTAAGTATGTTAATATATGAAATAAGAGAAGAAAATGGAATTAACATTTATCAATTACCTATTATATTCTAGATGCAATGTCAGGAGTACATAAGTACCCACCAATCAATGAATGGATAAAGGTAATGTGTGTGTGTGTATGTGTAGATATATAGATAGAGATGCATACCAAGGAGTATTTCTTAGCCATAAAGAAAACTAAAATTACGTCATTCGCATAACAATAGCTGGACCTAGAAGTCATCCTGTTGAGAAAGATAAACCAAGCCTCAAAAGCCAAATATCACTTGCTTTTGCTTATTTCCAGAGTCTAGACCTAAAATGAGGATGGTGATAATAATAGTGAATAAAGGGGGAGCTCACTGGGGAAACAGCATGAGGTGGAGGGGGAAAGGAGAAGATTCTGTGATGAGATTTCTTTTACAGAAATATTTGCTAATTTGATAGCCAAGCACCAGTGGCTCACACCTGTAATCCTAGCTACTCAGAAGGCTGAGATCTGAGGAACATGGTTCAAAGCCAGTCCGGGCAAGGAAAGTCCGGGTGACTCTTATCTCCAAGAAACCACTAGAAAACTGTAAGTGGTGCTGTGGCTCAAGTGGTAGAATGCCTGCCTTGAGCTGAAGAGCTGAGGGACAGTGCCCAGGCCCAGAGTTCAAGGCCGATGACTGACCAAAAACAAAGAAAAAGAAATATTTGCTAATTTGAGTTTAAATGCTTACCTATACTTTTTCCTGCTTCTACAGAATGAAGAAAATGTTCTTAAACTGATTTCCAAGGTGACTGTGAATGTATTAAAAGTGAATAAATTATATACTTTAAATAAGTGAAGCTTTTGGTATGTGAATTCAATCTAAAGAAATCTGTTTTTGATTAACTGATTCTTGGAAAACATTTTTAAAAATTATTTCCTTACAGTGGACTTTGGGAGGAAAATTACATTGTTTCCTATAGTGGTCTTTGGAGGGGGGGGAATACGTTGTTTCCTGCCTGTTTGTCAGATACAGGGGACAAACACAAATAGTGCAGTAGAACTCATATATCATTAGCCACTTCTGTTAATACCCCAGGTTAGGCGCTTACACTTGTTGAGGTATTCGCTTGAGCGGCTGCGTCATCGTCTTCCAGGAACTGATACAATTGGACACCACTGCTGTTCAATTCATGCATTATCCTACTCTTAAACTTCTGCAAATCACTTTTAGAAATTGTGTCGGCCTTGGCAATCAGCGGTATAATGTTGACCTATAAAGAAAGAAAACACATGGAGCTGGGAAGGTAGCTCAGTGGTAGAGAGCTTGCCTTGCATGCATGAAGCCCTGGGTTCAATTCCTCAGCACCACATAAGCAGAAAAAGCCGGAAGTGGTGCTGTAGTTCAAGTGGTCCAGCGCTAGCCTTGAGCTGAAGAGTTGTAGGACAACGCCCAGGCCCAGAGTTCAGGCCCATGACTGACAAAAAAAAAAAAAGAAAGAAAGAAAGAAAACACACAGAATCTCACCCTGAAGGGCTTATTGTTCACCCTATATTTTGCAGTTTAAGTCTTATTGCCTTTGGAAATAAATATGTATAGCTACTTAGAGATGGTTAAGCTTTATTTACAGAATTGTTAGTACAAAATCAACATTCCCTTATAAGATTGATCTTTACCAGAATTCACATTTAGAAGTCTCAATCTTGTACTTCTAAAAATCTCACATTTCTAACACATTTGGAGTTAGAAAAGTTTAAGGAGTAGGATTTGAAGTTAACTATTTGTCTAACTGCCATTTTTTATTATTATCTTTAGTTATAAAAGTCAGAACAAGCTGGGTGCCAGTGGCTCACACCTGTAATCCTAGCTACTCAGAAGGTTGAGATCTGAGGATCACGGTTCAAAGCCAGCTTTGGCAGGAAAAGCCCGTGAAACTCTTATCTCCAATAAACCACTCAGAAAACAGGAAGTGGCGCTATGGCTCAAGTGGTAGAGACTCACCTCGAGCTGAAGAGCTCAGGGACAACACCCAGGCCCAGAGTTCAAGCCCCACAACCAACAAAAAAAAAAAGCAAAAAGAAAAAAATAACAATATGAAAACATAAAAAGTATACTATACTACTGTTAGGCTATCTAATTAGATCATAGCTACAGATATTAAAAAATCAGCATTACTGTGGGAATAAATAAATATCAGATTTTAGGAAATTGCTCTTTTTTAGATGTCCCAAACCACACTTTTTAAATCCTTACAAAAATCCAAAATATTATAACATAGATGTTTAAAGTTCAATGTACACAAATGTAATTTCAGTATATACAAGTAGAAACTTTCACAGTAAATAAGCAGACTTTCTAAGGTAGATTCAAACTTAGGTAGATTTTTGGAATGTCTTACTCTAGTGATCATAAATGACTCACAGTAAGAAGTAGGAACTTTCCATGTCCTGCATGTCATACCTGAGGTGGAAATGTGCTTCCTGTAAAGATAGCTTAATACAAAGGAACACTTCAACAGATGGCCATAAGATTAAGATAAAACCAAGCTGGGTGCCAGTGGCTCACACACTAGGTGGCTGAGATCTGAGGATCACAATTCAAAACCAGCCTGGGCAGAAAAGTCCATGAGGCCCTTATTTCTAATAAACTTCTCAAAGAAAGCTGGAAATGGTGCTGTGGCTCCAGTGGTAGAGTGCTAGCCTTGAGCACAAAGAGGCTTAGGGATAGCACCTCTGAGTTCAAGCTCCAGGACCAGCCACAAATTTTTTTAATTTAAAAAAAGAAAAAAAAAATCGTGCCCCTGACTACAGAATAAATGATTAATCAAGCACTTAATCTTGGAGAGAGAATTTCAGGGAAGAGATAATATCCTTAACCCTGTCTAGTGCCCTTATCCTCACAGACTAGTGTTTATCCAGTTCTCCCACCCCAAGATCTAGCCTTTACAAGACTTTGCCAAAAAGAGGTTGTCCATTTGTTTAGTCTGAGATACGCAGCCTGTTAAAAGGAAGTCCCCATAGTTCCCAAGCTTTTGTTAAAGGAGTTTTATTTTGTTGGCTCTTTTCACATAGCAGATAGTAGCTGCCTGCCTGTTCCTGCATCTTGAGTCAGCTCTCGTAGGACTTGTAGCCAGAGTCAGAAAAGCCGCATGGTTCACACCATGCAGCGATCCATGGTATTATCTTTACCCTACAACCCTCATGAAATTGATGCCCATACTACATGCAATGAAGCTTGAACTGAATTAGCATTTAATCAAAGAAAAATTAATTAAGTTCTATTTTAGTTGTGCTTAACAGCATCTCCCTTAGCGGACAGGTTTAATTCTTTATTAAATTTGTCTAGAAAGTAACCTGAGGTTGAGTCCTATCCAGGGTCCATGGTCCCTCCTCCAAGCTCCTCTGTTGAAGCCCTCACTAACCCTCTCCATCTGGTGTTGTAGGTAGAGTCTATAAGGAGGTAATTAAGTCAACATGAGGCCATCACTGTGATGATCAGCCCAGATCAGTGTCCTTAAGGAGACACAGAGAAAGCCCCAGTATGAGGAAGCGAGGAGGCAGCCATCCGGCAGACAGAAAAAAGTCTGTTGACATCCTGAGCTTCCAGCCTGGATTTCTAACCTATAGGACTACTAGAAAATGATTTTTTTAATTTTTGTTATGTGGCATTTTGTTATGGAAGCACTAGAAAAATCAAACAATTGCTGTCAAGATTAAAAGGAAAGAATTGAAATACGTATACAAATTACAAGCATAGCAGATGCTTTTATAATAGATTATCATCTCAAAACACATATTAAGGCTTGTAAGGCTAGCAGATTTGCTAAACATACCTTACTGTCAATGCTCTTCATGGTTAACAGATCAAGGGTCTTCAGAGAATGTCCAGTGGGTGAAATGAAGTATAGGCACACGTGGACTCGAGAATCATGATAGTCAAAGAAGGAACGCTTAATCTTCAGTTCTTCTTGAAGATAGGCCTCAAATTGAGCATCGATGTACTCAACCACTGGTAGGTAGCTAAAATTATGTTTTAAAATAGCATAACAGATTAACAACATACAAATCTGTTTTTCAATATTTAAAAAGAATTAATATATATGTATACTAAACAGTTTCTCACATTGGTTTAAAAAAAAAAAACTAGGCAAGCTGGGTGCCAGTGGCTAATGCCTATAATCATAACTACTCAGGAGGCTGAGATCTGAGGATCTCAGTTCAAAGCCAGCCCAGGCAGGAAAGTCCATGGGACTCTTATCTCCAGTTAACCACCAGAAAACCAGAAATGGTGCTGAGGTTCAAAGTAGTAGAGCAATAGTCTTGAAGAGCTCAGGAACAGCACCCAGCCCCTGAGCAGTCCCAGGTCCAGCACAAAAAAAAAGTAGGAATCTAAAAACATTTCTTGGCCAGGAATGTGGCTTAGCAGTAGAGTGCTTGCCTAGCATGCATGAAGCCCTGGGTTCAATTCCTCAGTACCACATAAACAGAAAAAGCTGAAGTAACGCTGTGGCTCAAGTGGTAAGTGCTAGCCTTGAGCCAAAAGAAGGTCAGGGACAGTGTCCAGGCCCTGAGTTCAAGCCCCAGGACTGGCCCAAAAAATGCATATTTCTTTGCCTCCATTTATTTTACTCTATCACAGAGAGTATAAATCTGATATAGGAACTATTAATTTTCCTTATAATATCATAAGAAGAAAAGAAAATAAGCTAAAGCTACTAGAAACTAAATAAATAACTATTTTTGTTGTAATTTGCTCGTTTTAAATCTTGTAAGAAAATCAGACAGCTGGGCATGGAAAGGCATCAATTTAATAAGAACATTACTTGATGAGGATAGAATTAAAATCTAGAAGGAAACATGCAATCATCTTGGAAGGACATTGCTATTTAGTCTAGGAAAAGAGGTAAATTCCTATGAGACACCCACCTGGCCTCTTTGTTTATTTGGTCCCCAAACCCCACAGTTTTCACCACAGTCAGCTTCAGATGCACATTGCTTTCCTGGAGCTCATATATCTTCACTTTAAGTCCAACAGTGGAGTGGAAATGTGAGGACTTGCTGTCTTTCAGATTAGTGTTAAACAATGTATTTATGAGTGTTGTTTTTCCAATTCCAGTTTCCCCTGTCATGAACAGAGAGATCATCATAAGATCATGGGTTATGGGCTGGAAAGGTGGCTCAGTGATAGAGCGCTTGCCTTGCATGCACCACATAAGCAAAAAGAAAAAAGCTGGAAGTGGCACTGTGGCTCAAGTGGTAGAGTGCTAGCCTTGAGCTGAAGAGCTGAGGGACAGCGCCCAGGCCCAGAGCTCAGGCCCCACGACTGGACTAAAAAAAAAAAAGATCATGGGTTAGAAGTGACTCTCTGGCCCAGCACCTGTAAGCCTAGCTACTCAGGAGGCTGAAATCTGAGGATTGTGGTTCAAAGCCAGCCTGCCTTTTATCTCCCCTTAACCACCAAAAAGAACAAGAAGGAAGGGAAAGAGAAATAGAAGGAGGAAAAGGAGGAGGAGGAGGAAGAGGTAAAGCTGTGACTCAAATGTTAGAGCATTAGCCATAAGCACAAAAAGAAAAAGGCTCAGGAGCCGAGCACTGGTGGCTCAGGCTTGTAATCCTAGCTGAGATCTGAGGATCACGGTTCAAAGCCAGCCGAGACAAGAAAGTCCATGAGACTCTTATCTCCAATAAAGCACTAGAAAACCAGAAGTGGTGCTGTGGCTCAAGTGGTAGAGTGCTCTCCTTTATCTGAAGAGCTGAGGGACAGTGCCCAGGCCCAGAGTTCAAGCCTCACGACTGACCAAAAAAGTGGGGGAGGGGGAGACTCAGGGAGAGCTCTTAGGTAGCACTGAGTTCGAGCCCTAAGACCAGCACCAAAAAAAAAAAGTGTTACTGGGAAGGTGGCTCAGTGGTAGAGTGCTTGCCTAGTATGCATGAAGCCCTGGGTTCAATTCGTCAGTACCATATAAACAGAAAAAAACAGAAGTGGCACTGTGACTCAAGTAGTAGAGTGCTAGCCTTAAGCAAAAGAATGTCAGGAACAGAACCCAGGCCCTGAGTTCAGCCCCAGGATTGGCAAAAAAAAAAAAGTAATCCTCTGAACCCTTAAAGGGTGGCTTAAAGGATACCCCCAAAATCCAAAAAGTCAAATTCCCAGAAAGAAAGATACAATGGTGGTTAGAGGCTGGAGAAAGCATGGACAGTTGTTGATTAAAGAAAGGTACAAAAAGCCGGGAGCCAGTGGCTCACACCTGTAATCCTAGCTACTCAGGAGGCTGAGATCTGAGGATTGCAGTTCAAAGCCAGCCCAGGCAGGAACATCCTTATGACTCTTATCTCCAATTAACTACCAGAAAACCAGAAGTGGCACTGTGGCTCAAGTGGTAGAGTGCTAGCCTTGAGCTGAAGAGCTAAGGGACTGTGCCCAGGCTCAGAGTTCAAGCCCCACAATTGATACACATACACACACACACACACACACACACACACACATACACATAGAAGTACAAAGTTTCAAGTAAATAAGACAAATAAGTTTGCGGATCATGAACATCTCAGGGAGACTACAGTTAACAATAAAGTGTGTGATTCCAAATGACTTCAAGATTGTAAAACAGGGTGGTGGGAGGAGATGTGTGAATGAAAAAGGAAACAGGATAAATATCTGAGAACACGCGATACACATATGTGGCAGAGGAAGGAGAGGGAAGATCAGAGGTTATGAGGGAGAATGATGGAAGGGGTGAATGCAAACAGGAAGTACATGTTAGACTGTAACCCCTTAAACAGCCTTTTCAAGTTCAGAACAAAACTAATTTAATTTAAAAACTACGAGGATGGGGGAAGGGGGGGGAAGGAGAAGGATTGGGATTGGGGGGAGGGGGGAGGCTAGGAAGGGATGTGAAAGGTAAACAAAGGAGGAGGATGCAAAGCTTGGTAAGAAATGTACGCATTATCCTGCCCATGCAATTGTAACCCCTCTGTACAGTATGTTCACAAATTAAATTAAATTAAATTTTAAAAAAAGACAAAAAAAATACGAGGATGAATTTCAAATGTCTCACTACAAAAAAAAGAGAGGTAAATGGAGCTATAAGCACGCTGATCAAGGATTAAATCATTTGACATTGTATACAAATACCAAACCTCACATTTTACTCTATAAGTGTATACAGTAATAATTAGTCAACTGAAAACCATACAACTTCAAGCAAATAAATAAAAGACCTGATGTTTCTAGAAACTTACATGGTAATGACTGCCACCACAGTCATTAATACAGTATAGAAAGAAAATAAACACTAAGCTATGTAAGATTTTGAAGAACTCTGAAGTTTTCAAGTAAGAATGTTACAATAATATGGATGAAGAGATGGAAATCTGTACAAACATAAAAAATGGTTTTGAATTCATGTTACCAATATCAAGCTGCAATACCAAGTAGCAACAGAGCAGGAGAAAAGTAAACACACAGTGTGGTTTGGCACTTACCCACACACAGAATGTTAAAAGAGAACCCTCGCTGCAGAGACCTGTTCACCAGCTGGTAGGGAAAACACTCAAACCCAAAATGGCCAACAGTGCTCAAGCACCTGACATTTTCATTTGGCTTAAATAAAAGAAAGAGAAAAAGGAAAGCGTTTTAATTGCAACATAAAACAAGCTCATTTTGAATGGACAAAACAACACTATGAAAATAAATTAGGAGGGGCTGGGAGGGTGGCTCAGTGGTAGAGCGCTTGCCTTGCATGGCTGAGGCCCTGGGTTCAATTCCTCAGCACCACATAAGCAAAAAGAAAAAAGCCAGAAGTGGTGCTGTGGCTCAAGTGGCAGAGCGCTAGCCTTGAGCTGAAGAGCTGAGGGACAGCGCCCAGGCCCAGAGTTCAGGCCCCACGACCGGACCCAAAAAAAAGAAAGAAAGAAAATAAATTAGGATACAAGTGTATTGAATAAATGTGTTTTAAAAAAGTCTGTGCCAGGCTCACGCTGTAATCCTAGCTACTCAGGAGGCTGAGATCTGAGGATCACAGTTCAAAGCCAGCCCAGTCAGGCAACTCTTTTTTTTTTGGTGGGTCATGGGGCTTGAACTCTAGGCCTGGGCGCTGTCCCTCAGCTCTTCAGCTCAAGGTCAGCGCTCTACCGCTTGAGCTACAGCTCCACTTCCGGTTTTCTAGTGGTTTATTGGAGACAAGAGTCTCACAGTCTTTCCTGCCTGAGTTGGCTTTGAACTGCAATCCTCAGATCTCAGCCTCCTGAGTAGCTAGGATTACCGGCGTGAGCCACCAGCACCTGGCTAAATCTGAGACTCTTATCTCCAGTTAACTACCAGAAAACTGGAAGTGGCACTGCAGCTCAAATGGTATAGCCCTTGCCTTGAGCTGAAGAGCTGAGGGACAGTGCCCAGGCCCAGAGTTCAAACCCCACAACCAACAACAACAACAAAAAATCTGTATGCAGACACACAAATGTTGCTCTCATTATTATAAATAAATTCAATCTATCTCCAATCACAAAAAAAAATTGTATATAAAAATGGTAAATAAAGAAATGCCACATGGCTAGGAAGGTGGCTCAGTGGTAGAGTGCTTGCCTTGTATGCATGAGGCCCTGGGTTTGATTCCTCAGCACCACATAAGCAGAAAAACCTCCACATAAGCAGAAAAACCTGGAAGTAATGCTGTGGCTCAGTGGTAGGGCGATAGCCTGGAGCTGAAGAGCTGATTCCACAGCACTACTTCCAGTTTTCTGGTAGTTAATTGGAGATAATATTATCAAGGATGGGGCTGGGAAGGTGGCTCAGTGGTAGAGTGCTTGCCTTGCATGTGTGAGGTCCTGGATTCGATTCCTCAGCACCACATAAGCAAAAAGAAAAAAGCCAGAAGTGGTGCTGTGGCTCAAGTGGTAGAGTGCTAGCCTTGAGCTGAAGAGCTGAGGGACAGCGCCCAGGCCCAGAGTTCAGGCCTCACGACTGAACCAAAAAAAAAAAAAAGATTATCAAGGATGTTCCTGCCAAGGCTGGCTTTGAACCACAATCGTCAGATCTCAGCCTCCTGAGTAGCTAGGATTATGGGTGTGAACCACCAGTGCCCAGCCCCAAACTATTTTTATCCTTCTCAATAGCTTCCATACAACAGTATGGAATAACTCACATTGCCAGAAACAGGGTATCAGAGATCCCCTTTTTTTTGGGGGGGGGGCCGGGGGAGGTCTGTTTGTGGGGCCTGAACCTGGGTCTGGGCGCTGTCCCCCAGCTCTTCAGCTCAAGGCGAGCGCTCTACCACTTGAGCCACAGTGTACTTCTGGCTTTTTTCTTTTTGCTTATGTGGTGCTGAGGAATTGAACCCAGGGCCTCATGCATGCAAGGCAAGGGCTCTACCACTGAGCCACTTTCGCAGCCCGGAGAGCTCCCTTTTCTACACATCCTTCACTAGCATTTGTTTTTTAACTTTTTTTTGTCCGTCATGGGGCCTAGGCGCTGTCCCTCAGTTCTTCAGCTCAAGGCACGCACTCTACCACTTGAGCTACAGCGCCACTTGCAGTCTTCTGGTGGTTTATTGGAGGTAAGAGTCTCACAGACTTTCCTGCCCATGCTGGCTTAGAACTGTGATCCTCAGGTCTCAGCCTCCTGAGTACCTAGGATTACAGGTGTGAGCCACCAATGCTTAGCTTTGCTTTTTAACTTTTTTATAACAAACATTCTAATCAGCGTGAGGTAATAAATTCATTCCCTTTCCATTTGCTTTTTCCTATGACTGGTGATATTGAGCATTGTCTTAATAGGTATTTTATCAGAATATATTAATTGACTGGTGATGTTGAACATTGTTTTGATAGGTATTTTATCAGAATATATTAATTGTACAAAGTAGTAGGTTTCATTATGACATGTCTTACATGTATATAAGACATTTTTATCATATTTATTGACCACTTGTATTTCTTCTTTTGATTAGTATCTGCTTTGATTATTTGCACTTTTTTGAGGGGGGTCGGGGCAGTCCTGGGGCTTGACCTCAGGCCCTGAGCCTCTTTATGCTCAAGGTTAGAGCTCTACTACATGAACCACAGAACCCCTTCTGGCTTTTTCAAGGTAGTTTGTTGGAGATAAGAGTCTTATGGACTATTCTACCCAGGCTGGCTTTGAACCACAATCCTCAGATCTCAGTCTCCTGAATAGCTAGGTCACCGGCACCCAATTTATTTCCCCATTTTTTTTTTTGGTCGGTCGTGGGGCTTGAACTCTGGCCTGGGCACTGTCCCTCAGCTCTTCAGCTCAAGGCAAGCACTCTACCACTTGAGCTACAGCGCCACTTCCTCCCCATTTTTTTATTTGACTAGTTTAGTATTGTTTTGTTTCCTTTTTTTAGGGTATTATATACTCCACCACATTGCATTTTGTTATATTGCTCAGCTATAGATCTTCTATTCAGAAATTGGACACTATATCTTCATTAACTTCATAATTTCCTGCTCTTTCCCTATCTTAGGCATAGATAAAAAGGGCTTCATTGTTATAAATTTAAATATGTGCTTATATACATTTTAGTTATGTATAAAGCACTTAAAATCATAGCTTCCATGAATATAACTTCTGACGATAAAATCTTGTTCTGTAAAAAAAAAAAAATCCTACACACACACTATCTAAAATATGTGTTCTTATTTGGGAAATTTTCTATGCACAATAATTGTACAAACTAAATAAATAAATAAATAAATCTTAAGTAAACCTAACTACACAGGAGACTGACATCTGCAGTTCAAAGCCAGCCCAGACAGGAAAGGCTGTGAAAATCTTATTTCCAATTAACCACCAAACTACCGGAAGTGGTGCCGTGGCTCAAAGTGGTAGAGCCCTAACCTTGAGCAAAAGAGCTCAGGGACAGCGCCCAGGCCCTGAGTTCAAGCCCCGCCCCCCCCAAAAAAAATCTTAACAATTACAACAATGTTCCTGACAACTGGTTCCCCCTAGTGTTCAATATCTGCAACTGCCAACCTTACACAGTCAAAATTGCTATTAAAACGCAGGTTCTAAAAACTACACTTATTATGGCAATATAAAGAATGAAATGATAATAAAATTAGTATGAAATAGCCATATCTACTTAAATATGAAAAAGGCTTATTGACTTCAAATATAGATTTCTACTGCCTCTAAATTTATCAAAATCTCTAAAAAACAGCTACGTGGCTGAAATATACAGAAAGACTGTACCATCAACAGGGTTTAATCGGAACTCATAAAGAGAACAAGAAAAAATGGTTTATTCAAAACATCCATTTTAAACAATCCTAGTGAAATATAAAATATACAGATCTATTTGAAAGATATACTTAACTTTTTCTTCATCACTAGATTTTTGTGAAGGCACGTTCTTTGTTTTTTCTGCCATGGTAAGTCAAAAGGGCTGAAATAAAGAGAGAAGACTCTTTCAAATGTAATTGAAAAGGTTATATTCCTTATACATACTTGAGATCAATAAGGAAGTCTAACATAGACATTTTCATAAGTTTCAGCTTTTCAGTCACACCACTGACCAGTTTTAAGTTGTAGCTGTTTTACGAGACAATCTTCTATGAAAAACATTACATACTATACAACACATACTACAGAGGAATACATTTTACCATAAACACATCAACAGCAACCTTTAAAGAATGGTATATTTCCCTTTCAAATCAAGAGGGCAAGGATCATTCTTTTTTTTAAAAGAACTCATGAGAAAGAGATAACAAGTTTTACCTTAAAATGTAAGACGACCATAAGAAAGATGTTCATGTAGTTATTTAAATTTTCAGAATCACTTACCAAGGAGACTGGGAATTACTGGGAAAATGGGCTTACAACATTCTGAACAAGCTCCTTAGGAAATGAACAGTTCATGTTTGCAAAGCACCGTTAACACACTCAGTGTTAGGGGGATCATAGACTTTACTCCTACAGAAGCTATAATACACATGAACTACTTCATTGCCATATACCATGAAAAATCCAAGCTGGGGAACGGTAAACTTACTTGCTCACAGTTCAGCTACGCAGCACCCACAGGTCTGAACTGACCCTGTAGCTGGTGTTCTTCCCACTATCTGCAAATGAAGATTCACTGTATTTGCAACAGTTGAGATTTGGGAGGAGGAGGAGAGAAGGGCGAGCTGTGCCGATGTCTACGCAAGCCTCCCAGAGCAGGCCAGGCCTCCCGTGCTCCCCCCCCACCCCCACTTTGGGGTATCTCACAAAGATACAAAGAAAATAAAGTCTGCTTCTTTTAAAGAAAGTATTATACATACACTAAAAGCAAACCAGAGTGGAGAATGGCTCTGTTCCGTGCCTCCTTCATTTGATCTATCCTGAGGATTATTCCACTTCATTTTTTCACTTCATTATTTCACTTCATTTTTCCTTGATGATATTTCTAATATGGTGCTCCATTCTGTAGTATAGTTTCGTATGGTATCTATAAATATAGTATAGTATCTATAAATATTTACTACTTACTTACCACAAAACACACGCTGGGCATTGCAGTCCTTAATTGCAATCAACAATAAACACCAATAATAGAGTTTGCTTCTTCTTTTTTTTTTAATCAGTCATAAGGCTTGAACTCTGGGAACTCTGAGCCTGGGCACCGTCCCTGAGCTCTTCAACTCAAGGCAAGTGCTCTACCACTTGAGCCACAGCACCACTTCTGATTTCCTGGTGGTTAGTTGGAGATAAGATTCTCACAGACGTTCTTGCCCCGGGTGGCTTTGAACCTCGATCCTCAGATCTCAGTCTCCAGAGTAGCTAGGATTACAGACATGAGCCACTGGTGAGTGGCTGTTTCTTAATCTCTTATACTTACTTTCTCTCAGAATTTGAAGGTGGTAATTACAAATTCAAGAGATGTATCTCTGTCAAACTACTATTTTGGGTAAATTTGTTGAAGATGGTTTGAAAAATAGAGGTACACATTACCTTGTATTTGCAAATGCAAATTTGAAAAGTTTCAAAATGTGGGTTCTGTTGGAACACACCTGTAATCTTAGCTGCTCAGGAGGCTGAGATCTGAGGATATCACCATTTGAAGCCTGAGCAAGAAAGTCCTTCAGACTCTTCAATTAACCACATACACACACACACACACACACACACACACACACAAAAGCTAAAAGAAGAGCTGTGGCTCAAGTGTTAGAGCACTAGTCCTAAGCAAAAAAAAGCTCAAGGACAGTCCCTAGGCCCTGAGTTCAAAGCTCCAGGAGCCACCACAAATAAAAATTGAAAAACTAAAATAAATAAGTAAACTAATTTCTTTTTATGGACCACTTATTTCAGGGACAAATGCAATGATAATCTCTTTTTTTTGGGGGGGGGTGTCCAGTTGCGGGCCTGAACTCTGGGCCTGGGCGCTGTCCCTCAGCTCTTCAGCTCAAGGCTAGCGCCCTACCACTTGAGCCACAGGGCCACTTCCGGCTTTTTTCTTTTTGCTTATGTGGTGCTGGGGATCGAACCCAGGGCCTCATGCATGCAAGGCAAGCACTTTTACCATTAAGCCACCTTCTCAGCCCCAATGATAATCTCTTAAGTAGTTGTAGAGAGGGTTTCTGTTCAACATGTCAGCTTATGACAGTTATGAGGGCAGTGTGTCTCCATGTACCACCCTCGTCCATCCCATCCCAACCCATCCCTTCATGTTACCAGCTTCCATTTTCACCCATTGTTTTGAGAATTAAAATATAATCTCTGAATGAGAAATATACAATACTGCATTACTAAGCTCAGGTATACAATATCTTTTGATTTGGGGAAAGCAGTTGAGTTATCTGGATGAATCAGAGAAGCAGGGTCTGTTTTCTGCTCAGGACCTTTGTCTTCACTAAGAGAAAGTTTTGTCCATAGCCCCAGACAGACACCCTCCCTGACCCACAACCTCCACAACACAGGCATTGTTCTGAAGGGCTATCAGTACACAGGACTACATAGCTAAAATACCTATTATATTGATCTATAAATCCACATATTGGTATACAAATCTATGTTTATAAACACTATATGAAGATTGTAAAGAACTAATTTGAAAAGTAGTGAATGAAAAGCATCTCTCCTCCTTGCGTGAACCACATAAACCACACCCTAGAGTAAGCAAATATGTGATAGAGGGTTTTTTGTTATTGTTGTTTGTTCTGTTGTTTGTTATTGTCTTGCTCTGCAGCCCAGGCTGGCCTTCAACTCTCAAACCTCTTGTCCCAGCCTCCTGAGAGCTCAGATTACATGTGTACACCTCACCTAGGGGGTTATTTTTTTAAACTGGTTTCATTAAGTCATTGTTCTATGTATATATAACATGCTTTGACTGTATTCACTCCTCACCCTCTTACTAGTCACTACACTCACCAAAAACAAGAAAAAAAAAAAAGAGAGAACCCACAAGGCACTTGCATACTCAGAGATGTGACAGCTGTCTGTAGAAAACAAGGTAAGTAATTGACCAAGTGATAAGAAATAACTTCTTTTTCATGAAGTATGTTAATTGAAAAGACCATTGAAAAGCAGCAATCATTCAGGCTCAGGTACTACCACAACAGTTCTTGGAAATGAAGTGGGGTTTATAAATTAAGAAAAAGGCTGGGAAGGTAGCTCAGTGGTAGAGCACTTGCCTTGCATGCCTGAGGCCCTGGGTTTGATTCCTCAGCACCACATAAGCAGAAAAAGCCAGAAGTGGCGCTGTGGCTCAAGTGGTAGAGCGCTGGCCTTGAGCTGAAGAGCTGAGGGACAGCGCCCAGGCCCAGAGTTCAGGCCCCATGACCGGACCCAAAAAATTAATTAATTAATTAATTAAGAAAAATAAATGAATCCAAGATGGTGAACTGCAGGCATCCAGCACTCACCTCCCCCTCTGCAAAGAACCAAAGTAACAATGTGTAGCTGCCCTTCAAGGTGAACGACCATGGGAAAACACTGAAAATCAGCACGAGAGGGATTGGAAATGGATAAGACTCAGAACTAGGACAAGCCGCCTAGAAAGAGAAACAAAATATCCTGATATCTGCCACCTTGCCTCCTCAAAAGAGAGAGGAAATCTCCCTTTCCATGGGTGAGGGTCAGAGCAGGTCCCAAAAAATTCTACCACAAATGCTGACAATCCTAGCTGTCAGAAAGCCTCTCAAGGCTGGGAATGTAGCTCAGTGGTAGAGGCTTAGCCTGGAGCAAAGGTAGCTCAGGGTCGGTGCCTGAACTGAGGAGGAGGAAGAGGAGGAGGAGGAGGAGGAGGAGGAAAAGGGAGGGAGGAAGAGAGGGAGGGAGGGAGGGAGGGAGGGAGGGAGAGAGAGAGGGAGGAGGAGGAGGCCTTTCAACCTTCCCAGGCTGGCAGCCATACATATAAGTAGACTGTGTTCTGCACAGTGGACCAGCATCCTCTCCTGACCAACCCTCAGGGTGCTGTCATCAGAAGCAGTCTTGAGGAGGGAGCCATTGGATTTTGTTTGGCACTAGCAATTGCATGCATAGCCCTATCTCTGAGAACACAGACATTTCATTGTACTGGTCAGCAGCCAGCTGCCTCTCACACCCAACTTGACCCAGAAGAGTGACTGTGAACAAAGCCCACCAAGTGCCCTACAGAGGATGGGCACCAAGACAGAAAGAAATGGAGGATGTTGACCTAGAGAACAAGAAGCTTGGAGTGCTTCCCTTCCGTGGCAGAGGGTGTGGCCAGCACTGTGCCAGGACTCAGGGCAGAAGCTCACACAGCTCCTGCTGCACTCTCTGCAATACCATGCACAGCTGTCTGCTGGAGGAGAGTGAGGCTCTCTCATGTGGCTCCCGCACAAGCAGACTGGGGAGGGTGTCTTATACAATTCCACGGCTGAGGCCATCACCTTACCTCTGGCATGCATGCAGCCATCACCCTGCCCTAAATGCCAATAGCCAAAGAGGCCCTAGGAGGAACAATTCCTGTACCCACACCCGTCCTGTTCCTGGGCACACACCACCATCCACAGAGGGCCATGGCAGTGCCTGCTACCCCCCTCCCCGGGGTTCCCGCCATTGCACTGCCCAGCCGTGAGTGAGTGAAAAATGCACTCCCGTCAAAAGTGAGTGCAGTCACAAGGAAGGGGTTTTGTGGCTCCTACCACCACCTCTCCACCTGCATCTTGACAAAAGTACTTCAGAACTCACATCAATGATATGGCTGCCAGTGCCAGAGGCCCCTGCCTGTCACAAAACTAGCATCAGCAGTACCAGGCATTTCATCCATTTATTTTCTTTCCTTTTTTTTTTTTTTTTGTCAGTTGTGGGGCTTGAACTCTGGGCCTGGGCGCTGTCCCTCAGCTCTTCAGCTCAAGGCAAGTGCTCAACCACTTGAGCCACAGTGCCACTTCTACTTTTTCTGGTGGTTTATTAGAGATAAGAGTCTCACAGACTTTCCTGCCCAGGCTGGCTTTGAACTGCAATCCTCAGATCTCAGTCTCCTGAATTGCTATGATTACAGGCATGAGCCACTAGCACCCAGCTTTAACTAGTATTTTTGACTTACATTGAGTTTGCTAAACTATAACCCTATTGTAAGACAGGGTCATCTGTGCGTATCTATACAAAGCTATATTTTCTTCAGAATCTTCCATCAAAGCAAAGTAGTTCAAGAGACTGGAGAAACTGGTATAACAATTGAACTGTCTTTCTCTTTTTTACTTTTCTATTGTGATATACATAATATAAAATTTGCCATTCTAGCCGGCTTTAAATGTTCATTCTTATAAGCACATGTTTTCTTTTGTGTGTGTGTGAAAATACTGTACAGAGGGTTTACAATTACATGGGCAAGATAATGAGTACATTTCTTATCAAGCATTTTTGCCTCCTCCTTTGTTTCCCCTTACCATCCTGCCCTCCCATCTCCCCCTCTCCACTCCCCTTCCCGCCCACCAACCAAATTTGTAAAGTTCGTTTTTCAACATAACGTTTTATACACCTCATTGTTGCAATGGGTCCACCTGTATCCCTATTTAAACAATTTGTTTTTTCCCTTCCACTACCCAAATCATACCAACATCAAATACAGTGAAAACAGGGGTTATGGGGCTGGGAAGGTGGCTCAGTGGTAGAGCGCTTGCCTTGCATGC